GTTGGTGGACATGTAAAAAAAAATTCCAAATACAACAGAGAAAAGGAAAATGTGAACTCACCATGACAGCCTACACAAGACTTGCAAAATCTCAAGCCAGAAAAAAACTCCAGTCCATCTAAACAGTGAGGTTTCAGTTTAAGAGAGAAAAAAAATCGATAAAAGAATATATTGAAGAGAATATAAGAGATCATGACTGAAGTGATGTTGCAGAATGGTGAAAAACTTACCATTTCTTTTTATTCATATTATTGATTTACTTTGAGTTTCATATGAAAAAAACATATCTAATATAAGAGTACCTAAATAATAATCTCAGGTGAGCTGCAGATCTGGATGTCAAATATATTTTTTCTAAATAATGTGTATCAAAAAAGTAAAAAAAAATCAATCATCAAGTGAAAGGTTGATCAGTAGTGCAAATTAAAATTAAGTGCTTCTGGTGATTAAAATGTTCTCTTTAGAAAGGAGAAGTGCCAAGCAATAAGTGGAAAAATAAGACATTTTTAATACAGAGAGAACTCCAAATATATTGCTAAATCTCCAGTTAAAATGCATATATCCATGTGCAAAAAGTATATTCATTGGGGTATGCTTACTCATGATATGGGGCTGAATAAAAAGTTGAAACAGATCAAATACACACCAATACTTTAATAAAAATACATAAGCTATGTTAAAATCCAATAATCAAAGTTAATCAAATGCTTATCAAAAGCAAAATTCAGGATAAAGATAGAGGTCCGTGTAGTGTGTGGCATGGGAGTTCAAAAGGGGTTTTCTGTCTCTTGACCAAGATGCTTGTTTCTATACGTATTTGCAATATGGTTTTTAATAGAAATAATGACATTTACTATATTATTAGCAATGCTATAATTCAATAAAATGTATGCAAATTCAGGAAAGACAAAATGTCATTTATTTATGGTGTAAAGTGATAACAAAATCTTGGTGCTATATCTATCTTTTATAGTGTGCATTTAGAGGATTATGATCAAAGTTGCAAGCTTAGCGAAGAGACAAGCTAATTAGATGAAGGAACTACCATTTTTTTTCTAATGATATGTGCTATATATTTTTGGATGAACATTAGCATCTGCATTATAATTGCTCTCCACTACAGTGAAAACAACCATAGCTTACTATGAGGAACCATGCAGCTGTGTTTAAATGCTATTTACCAAGAGGTTACAAAACATTAGCCAGTCCCCAGATTCAGTGATTGGTGAGACACATGGATACAGTTAAAGTGATTTCTATATATGAGGGCTATTTTATTTTCTCAGCATTTTCAGTATTGTAGCTTATTACTCGGAGTCTCCTACTGATTTTATTTTTAAACTATCACTCTGCAATTCATAATACAAATTATATTTCAACAAGTGTGTGTTTTCTGTGGTATTTCTGATTCCTACCTAAAAGCATAACAGACATTGTGTAACTACATTTAAACCTTATTTTCTACATGTATTTACTCATAAGCACATTTAATAATGTATAACCCAATTGAAATAGAATTTTACATGCTAACTTTATTTCAGTTCCCATTGTAAAAAGCTGTTTCCCATGAAGATTTAGTCCCTTCATTAGCTGATTGCTACCATTTGTCGTTTTGTCAAAATTTAATGTTGTGTTTGTATGCTTAAAGCACTGGGGTTTCCAATTTAAAATAGATTCATCTATTTCTGGCTTAGTTGGTTTTATGGTGAGATAATCCATTTACTTAAATCTTTTGGTAATAGCTTAATTAATTGGTCAGACAAATGTTTGTAGAAAACAAAGTAAAACAATAAATAGTTTCAAGCAAAACTAGATGCATATAAAACTCCAGGGATGATGATAACAAGCATTTCTGTCAGTCACATAACTGGAAAAGCACTTACAAAACCGGGGTCTTTATTGGCAGATTGCCAGCTGTATTTAAGGAATACAACTGGGGTGCCTGCATTGGCAGATTGCCAGTTCTTCAAGAAATGCAAGTGCTGTTACCATAGTGCATTATGGACTTTCATTTAAAAGGTAAAAAAATATTTAGAAATGTTTCTTGATTACCATGCCATCTATTTTGAGCAATTCTATCAACATATACACTTCTATTTATCATGCAAGTACAATAGACGCTTCCTACTTTTGGGAACGAATCACTGCTAGTTTTGATCTCATGCAGAATACATACCACATTTCTAAATCATATTAATCACAAAGACATTACCAAACCCACACACTAGTAAATTTCAGTAGGCATAAATATGTTGCTTAAGTATTCAACAAACATGAAGTTCAAAGAGGTGGTAGCGTTTAAAAATTCATTTAGACCCTAAGAGACGAACTTGTTATGGAGTTACTTATAAGAAGATAATACTTGCAAAATAATCATGTCAAGGTCCACAACCCATAGAGACTAAGTAACAAGGAGGGCTTAATGGGGGATAAATGAATCTCCCTAGAAAGAGAAAATAGAATAGATTTCATTGGTAGGCTTGGGGTAGCTGAAGTTGGGAACAGAAGGTATCAACTGGGGGTGATACTGAGAAAAAAAAATTGAATGGGGAGCATTTAGAGAGAGAGGAAACCTAGTGCAATGTAAACTCCATGGACTCTACAAGAATAACCCTAGCAAAGAATCTGAACCAGCCATCTTCTGTAACCAGGTAAGCCCTCAAGTGGAGGATTTGGGACACCCACTAATTTCCAAAGTTGTTGCACAAGTTTTCATTCCCACCAGCAATGAATGAGTGTTCCCCTTGCTCCATATCATTTCTAGCATAAAGTATCATGAGTGTTTTTGATAGTAGCCATTCTGACATGTATAAGATAGTATCTCAAAGTTGTTTTGATTTGCATTTCCCTAATAGCCAAGGAAGTTGAGCATATTCGTAAGTATATTTAGGCCATTTGAAATTTTTCTGATGAGAATTCTCTGTTTAGTTTAGTATACAACTTTTTAATTGGGTTATTTAGAATTTTAATGTCTAATTTCTTGAGTTCTTTATATATTTTGGAGATCAGTCCTTTTTGTCTGATGTGGGGTTGGTGAAGCTTCTTTTCCCAATCAGTAGACTGCCTTTTTGTCTTATTGATTGTGTCCTTTGCTCTACAGAAGCTTCTCAGTTTCAAGAGGTCCCATTTATTCATAGTTGCTCTTATTGTCTGTGTCACTGGGGTTATGAAGTGGTCTCATGTGCCCATGCATTGAAGTTTACTTCCCACTTTCTCTTTTATCAGGTTCAGAGTAGTCAGAGTAATATTGAGGTCTTTAATCCATTTTGACTTGATTTTTGTACATGGCAACAGATATGGATCTATTTTCATTCTTCTACAGGTTGACATCCAATTATGCCAGCACCATTTGCTGAAGATGCTTTGTTTTCTCCATTGTATAATTTTTGCTTCTTTGTCAAAAATCAGGTGCTCTTAGATGTGTGAATTAATATCCGGGTCTTCAGTTTGATGCCACTGGTCTACCTCTTTGTTTTTATGCCAATACCAAGCTGTTTTCTTTCCTATAGCTCTGTAATAGAGCTTGATGTCAGGGATGGTAATGCCTCTGGCATTTCCTTTATTATTTTGTCTATTCTGGGTCTTTTGTTTTTCCATATGAAGTTGATTATTGTTCTTTCAAGGTCTGTGAAGATTTGTGTTGGGATTTTGATGGAGATTTATTGAATCTACATATTGTTTTTGGTTAAGATTGCCATTTTTACTATGTTGATCCTTCCTATCCAAGAGCATGAGAGATCATTCCATTTTCTGGTATCTTCTTCAATTTCTTTCTTTAAAGAATTAAAGTTTTTGTCAAATAGGTCTTTCGCATACTTTGTTAGTGTTACCTCAAGATATTTTATGTTATTGTGAAAGGTGATGTTTCTCTGACTTCCCTCTCATCTTCTTTATCCTTTGTGTATAGGAAAGCAACTGATTTTTTGAGTTGATCTTATATCCTGCCACTTCACTGAAGGTATTTATCAGTTGTAGGAGATCTCTGGTAGATTTTTAGGGGTCACTTATATGCACTATCATATCATCTGCAAATAACGAAAGTTTGACTTCTTCCTTCCTTTCCAATTTGAACCACCTTTATCTCCTTATGTTGTCTTATTGTTATTGCTAAAACTTCAAGAACAATGTTGAAGAGATATGGAGAGGGCAGACAGCCTTGTCTTGTTCCTGATTTTAGTGAAATCGCTTTGAGTTTCTCGCCATTTAAATTTGATGTTAGCTGTTGGCTTGCTATATATTGCTTTTATATATTTAGATATGATTCTTATATCCCTAATCTCTCCAAGACCTTTATCATGAAGAGATAATTAATTTTGTCAAATGCTTTTCAGCATCAAATGATCATTTGTTTTTATTCTTTCAGTTTATTTATATGATGGGTTACATTGATAGATTTTTTTTAATTAAACAAAGAATATTTCTGGGAAGCTATTAATACTACAGAAGCACGGGATTAGATGCCTAACTGGAGCAAGACCCTGGTGCCGGCAGAGATGTGGAGGGCTGTGAGCTTTCACCTGAAATCCAGCGTGTACCGGGCAGCGGTAACCCTGCCCCTTGGCCTCTGCAGTGCTCATTCCAGAAGGAAAGAGGGCAGGGAGGCAGCTGTGGTCCCCTCACCTACCTGCCTCCTTTAAAAAGTATAGGCAAAAAGTTTAAACAGGTGGCACCCAACCTTCATTCAGTAGCAGGGAACTCATTCCAGGCTCCCAGAGAACCCCCAGCTCAGATCTAGGGTGCCCAGGGCTTCAGCTGACCCCTCTGGCCCACCAGTAGTCACTTGGTCAGTCCTGCTGCCTTGAGCCCATCTCCAGGAGGGGCAGAGGCCAGAGGGAGGAGAGGGAGTCCAGCCCCCATGCCTTTGGAGGCACTTGTTAGGAAGGGGGGAGAGGTGGGGCCCTTGGGTCACTGGTTGTGGAAGGGATCTGGTGTGGGCAGCATTTCTTCTGGGCTGGACACCGAATGGGAACCCCAAGACTGCAGAGCCAGGCCTGTGGGAGCTACAAGGCCCTAGAACTGCTCCACGGTCTGTCCCGATTTCCCTTGGATCTCATCTGCTCCTGAACTGCACCGGTCATGGCAAGTCCATCTCCTGCCCCCATCTCTCCCAATCCGATGTGAGTCAAGTGGACAAAATTCATTGGTTCCCCAATCATGGTGTGGTCAATCCGTCTTCTCCTCTTCTTCGGCTGGGGCTTCTCTACCACGCAACAGCCCAGTTTGTGCCAAAATTCACTCATATTCCCTGATGGTTCCAGCTTCGGGCCTCTGCCAGAGGCCCCAGAGGGCTCTTGTTTTGTTGCTAACCAGCCAGTCCTCACTCTCAGGCGGAACAGCACCTGGGATTCACACAGCTGGATGGTTCTCCGGCTGTGGGAATCCTAGAGACCCTCACTCGTGCAGTGAAGGTCAGAGTCTCGGACCTAGGGCCCCTAAAAGCACCAGCAAGAGGCTTGGGCGGGCAGGCACAAGGTTCTGTCTTCTTTTGATGTGAAATCCTGCAGCTCCCCGGCGTGGGCGGCCTCTGCGGGTGGGGGCTCCGCCACTCAGCAGATTTTTTTTTTTTTTTTTGTATGTTGAACCAGCCCTGCATCTCTGGGATGAAGCCTATTTGATCATGGTGGATGATTTTTTTGATGTGTACTTGGATTCTTTAGGTTGGGGAACTTTTTTTAAAATAATTTTTGGGGTATATTTTCTGGGCCTTTGAGCTGGAGTTCTCCTTCTTCTACCCCTATTATTCTTAGGTTTGGTCCCCTCAGTATGTGTTTTCTTTATTACCTCTATTTCAGTCCTCAAGTCTTCAACTGTTTCTTTCACCTGTTTGATTGCTTTTTCTTGGTTTTCTTGGCTTTCTTTAAGGGATGTATTAATTTCTTATAGCTTTCTATTTGTCTTCTCCTCTATTTCTTTAAGGGAGCTTTTCACTTTCCCTTTAAAGGTCTCCATCATTTAAAGTCGTTTTCTTCTACATCTTCTGGGTTAGGGTGATAAAGTCTTCCTATTGTGTGTCCACTGGGTTCTGGTGTTACCATGCTGTTTTTAAAGATGTTGCAGGAATTCTTGCATTTGCGCCTACCCATCTCTTCCTTCAAATGAGGCTAGCAGTGTCTTGGCTTCTTGATCCAATCCTTGCTGTGTCTGTCTCTTAGGTCCATTCAGTATAGAAGCAGGTTCTTAGGTCCACTCAGTATTGGCCCAGGCTGTTTTTGCAGGGTTTTGTAATGTTTGCATTGTTTTGCAAGGTTCCATAGAGCTCGCAGGGAACTGCGGGTTGGGGGCAGGGTGAACTGAGGGCTAGCTGGCAAGTTCCCTGATGGCAGCTCCTATGTTCCCCAAGTTTGGACACAGGATGTATGGCAGGGTTCCATGAAGCCCACAGGGAATGGAGGGTTGGATTTATAAATGACATTTAAATGGACAAAATTGTCAATTAAATAAATAATGCATTTAAATAAAGATTCTAAGGCTTATATAAATTCATTTAAAAAGCTTTTATAAATGTCAGTCACTATCCCATTTCAAAACTACACATATATTCTCCCATGTAAGGAAGTTTCCATGTAAACTATGGTCTATAAGCATGCATAATAAGCATAAATGCAAGTTCTCGAAATTCAAGGTTAGTAGTATACAAGGAAGCAGCACATATATTGCCAATGCAGTTATTTGCTGTGTTGTAAATATGAACAATAGATGATGCAGTAGAGAAAAATATCCAACATCTCAGGGACAGGACTGGAGTTTCTACAAAATGGAAATATGAAGAGAAATCAAGTGTTCCCTTGGTACATAATACAGAAGCTGTTTTTTCAGGTAGAGGCATCATTGCACACATTGCTCAATTCTAAGTGAAAGGGGTCTGGATTTAATTTATTGCTTTGGATATTTAGCAATTTGTATGAAGTATGAGAGCAAAGTATTTAACTTTGAGTAGAAGAAAAGGAGCTAGTCCATACTACATTCTGTATAAAATGCAAACTAGAATATATGCACTTGCCTTTGTCTAGAGATCCATTTAAAAATATGAATAGGAAGTGCCATTGTACTATTTTCACTCTGACAGCACCTACAGTGTGTAACTGCATGGGCTGAGACTACAGCATAAGAAATGTTAAATTTATGCTAAATTTAGATTACTGGAATTATGAAAGAAAGGAAACAGTGTTGCAGTCAGAGAGGTGGGTGAATTCTTATAAATATTAGTTAACTTACCAATAACTTATAAAGAATTTATTTAAGAAGATACAAAAATACAATTAGGGCAGCCAATTTGTCTTATATACTAGGGAAAGTACAGTTCCATTCTTAAAGTTGAAGTACAAAATTATTTGAAAGATGATGTTTTATATTTACCTTTTAGTTTGGTTGGTTGATTGGGTGTGTGAGGTTTTGTTGTTGTCATTTGGAGTTGCTTTGTTTTGTTTAGTTTAGCAGAAATGATTTTTAACACTCACTTGCAATCTCCACTAACATATTTGTCTATAGGATCGCTTCATTTTGGAGAATATCAGGCCTATCTGTGGAGCATTATGCTACAAAATGATTATTTGAATATTTGGATCTGGTGTTCGGTAGAGGCCTCATCATCAGTCTACGGCTGTGTATCTTGCTACACTGATGGTAAAAAACACACTCCTTTATTGGATATACTGTGCAGATAAACAGAACGGGGACAAAGGTGAGAGTTCTTTATTCAAGGAGGGAAATTAGAAGAGAGGCTCATAAGATTAACAAATAACTTGGCAGTAGACTAGGAATCAAAAATGCTCTCAAAGAGAAAAAAGGTGCAGAAAGTTAATAAATGCAAAATTTAATCACACATTTCAGGCAAAGAATAAGGATGAAAATCTCAAATTGTAATAAAAGAACAAATAAGGTGAAAGAATCAAGACAACACATTCATATCAGTTTTCTTCTAAAAGTTTGCTAAACATAAGAGAAAACAGCTCTTGAGTAGGGCATTAGTATGCAAGAGTTTAAGAATAGATGCCAATAACCACAAATTCTTAAATACTTTATCCCAAAAACCCCTGCATGACAGGATTAACACTTATGAACAGAGTACCTTCTTGTTTGGTATGCATGCTGTGATAGAAGGTGATGGATGTTTGATGATCATGATTAGAAGACCATTTTTGTGTCAACTTACAAGTTAAGTTAAAGGAAAACAACAGACTACTATGGCTTCCCTTCCTGATAAGCACACTGTTTGAAAGATTTTATGTCAACTACCTATTGATTTTTTTTTATTCTTCGTATACCATTGTTTTTATGGTCTGTTATAGTAAATTGAAAATTTTGAAGAATCACGGTTGACTCCTAAACTTTAAACATCTACCAAATTAACTTAATTTCTATTCAGCAGAATAAAGGAGCTCAGTACTCCTTTAAATTTCCAGTACATCGCTTTAAAGTTAGCATCATTTTAAGATAACAAAGAACTTCCAGTAATGGTCAAAATATTGGTTTTATATGTCTTGATTAATTTTGCATAAATTTAATTATTTTATACTAAATCTATAAATAATTAGCAAAACAGCATTAGTACTATTACATCACTATTCTGAAATAAAAATGAAAAATTTAAGCTATCTTTCAAAAGTGAATTTTTAAAATGACTTCAAGGCATGTTTCATTTTCACAGACCTTGTAGCTCAACCCCTTGTCACATTCATCTTCAGCTTACACAAGGAATACACACCTTGTGACATCTCAGGAAATGTGTTTTTGACTCTATTAGAGGGTGTTTTCCAAACAATTTGATTTCCTCAAAGACATCTGCCTTGTGAACAAAACAGTCTATGGTAGTCACTATTTATTTTAAAGACAGCTTCCTTGATGGCATAACGCAGAAGTCAATTGATTATGAGAAGCCCAACCACAAGGGATTCATATTTATCCCTACTTCTGCATCTATAGCTCAGGGACCATTGCAAAAGAGAAAACAGATTGTAAAAGTCGGAGTATCAGGAAGCTTGTTGTGAAACAGTTTCTCCTAGGAATGGCTACATAAAAATAAAGACTATAACAATGACAATATCAGTAGACATGTTGATATAGAATGGGGGAAATTTTGCAGGGTCCCACCACTATACAAACTAATGATAACTGTTGACTGCTAAGGTAGGAGATTGGCATTTCTCTGGGACAAGGACTCTTGTTGGCTGTCCAATGCAGAGGGGCAGCTCTGAAATCATATGCACACAACCAACAAAATGATTTTAGTATGTTTTATCTCTTTGTACTTACGAATTCAAAGATGCATGCATGTAACTATAATAATCAAAGAAAAATAGAATCTCAGTTGCTAGTTGTGGTGGGACATGAGAGGGGTTAGAAGTTGGTATCTGGGAGGGGCAGGAGGGAAAAGAAGCAGAAGAGGAGTAATTAAATTATATTTCAATGAAAAACCTTAAAAAGCATAACCTACAATAAATTGAAAAGTGCCACTGAGCAATAAAAACAAGAAGACATTGAATGCTAGCTGCAAATTTAATAAATATTAAATGGTTATCCTCATTGTTTTTCCAACCAACTAGTCAAAAGAGACTCATTACAAGATAAGTCTTCTGAACAGGAATTTATATAAAAACACTTGTGGAGGACATAAACCCACATCTCTTGTCAGCATAGAAAGAAAAGCAGAGGCCCTAAGAATTCCTTAGATGATTTTGTGGGAGTTGTGCAACATGGCAAACATTCCCCTTTTCCGTTGGTTTGCCATCTGCTTCCACAGTAATAGACTCTGTCTCTAAGTCAGCAGATGCAGACCAACCAACTGAGATATTTCTCATTCTTTGGACATTTATGAATCACTTTCAGTTTAAGCCCACATGAAGACCTTTCCCTTTCTGTCAGCTAATAAACCTGCTGGGGACTGAATTCATGCCATTGTAAAGCAAAACTTACTTTCATTTAGAACAAATTCTTTTCCAAATGGTCCATTCTTTTTTTTTTCAACTACTTTTTCATTTGTTGCTCTCCTCCCACCCTATGCCCCCTCCTCCCACCGTTCTCCCCCTCCCCCCCACTCCTTTCCCCTTCCCTCTCCAGTCCAAAGAGCAGTCAGGGTTTTCTGCCCTGTGGTAAGACCTAGGACCTCCCCCCTCCGTCCATATCTAGGGAGGTGAACATCCAAACTGGCTAGGCTCCCACAATGCCATCACATTACATAGGATCAAAACCCCATGCCATTGTCCTTTGCGTCTCATCAGCCCTCATTGTTTGCCATGTTCAGAGAGTCCAGTTTTATCCCATGCTTTTTCAGTCACAGTCCAGCTGGTCTTGGTGAGCTCCCAATAGATCAGCTCCACTGTCTCAGTGGG